CAACAAACAAAATGTCTAATATGATATCAGGCTAAAAGCAACCTAACCTTGCTTTGATGTGAACAATATACGTGCAAGAGTTTGAGCCGTCCCATTCAGTCAACAGCTGTAGGAGTCCAAAACTTGTTCTGTTCTTGAAAAAAAGCTACAACTGTGTGAACAAGCAAGCCTGCGTGTCAGTCTCTTTTCTATTTAGAATAGTGGTCTAAATAGACCGCAATCAGGTCTTGATATGATTATGGTCTTGATAAAGCCTTAATTCGGCCATGGCAGCAAATGTAATTTCATCTTTTCAGGAAAAAAACAAAAAACAAAAAAAAAACAACAACTTACATTCAGCCTAATTATTCATACAAAGATGTTATGACGCCAAAACAAATTGTGAGAATTTGGGACAACTGCTCACCATATTTCACAGTGACATTCCTCTGTGTCCTGTAGTACTCTGAAATATTTATAATTTCTTAGTGAAAGCCTGATAGTGGTTAAGGTACGATTCCATTTTCTAGCAGCTACTTGTGAGACATTAAAGGTTCTGTGACATATAAGTCACAGAAGCTGCAATGACAAGCAATGGCATCATAAACCACGGGTCAGGTAGAGCCTAAGTCAGAACAAAGTACGCATATTACGTTATCCAGAGTGGAGTGTCATGCCACAAAAATTAGATTACTTATTACATTTGTCAAAATTACAGTCCTGCAGCCACAAGGCGCTGTATTGGACCCGACCAGTTACCTGGAGTTATTTCTAAATAAAACCCGGACCTGACCCGACAACATAAGACCCCTATTCCTGTAATTAAAATAGATTTTCAAGTAAGTGACCGTGTAGCTTAAAGTGCTTGAGAATTGTGTTCTTGGAAACGTATCTGTCAATGGACAGAGCACCTGGGCTCTGCAGCTTAGTGAAATAAGTTGCGGCTATCAAACGTCAACACTTTTGGCACTGTTTACAAGCAGCAAAAACTGCCAATAACATTGTTCTCAATCTGTAACCACACCAAATTTCTGTCATACAGCCAGTTTGACCTGAGACGATGCACTGTCCACAATTTGTCCACTGCTATTTTCGCTTTTAGGTTATCCACTTTGAAACACTGACCCTGTCACTATATAGGACTTGGTTCGTGTAAGACTGAAAGCTGTATAGAAGATTATTTAGCTGATGAAAAATATATAATACATGCACTATGTTGGTGACAACTGCGTTTTACATACTTTTTAAATTACATTGTTGATTAAGTAAGTACACTATATAGATCACTGTTACCAGCAAAAAATAAAAAATTGGACTCAATGACATGCTAAACAGCAGACATTACTGTAGTTGGTAAATGATTTTGAACCAAGTGCCAGTCCCTGAAATATGAAAAAGATATGGCAAGGCTTGCCAACTGAGTTTTGAGAAAGAGAAAACAAATGGAGAAAAGGGGTACACACCAGTTGTAGCCAGAGGGAATTAGGAAGCATAATAGATGACAAAGAAAAAGAATGAATGAGTTCCCAATCAGACAGAGTGCATTTTAGCAGCTTGGGGCTGCTTTTTTGTCGTACAGTGAAACCTTGGATTTGCGAGTATAATTCGTTCTGGCAATGTGCTCGTAATCCAAAGCACTCGTATATCAAAGCGAATTTCCCCATAAGAAGTAATGGTAAGTCAAATGATTATTGATTGATGATATTCACATTTACACGTGTGTGTGTGTGTGAGCTGTGTACAAAAACAGCTGTCACACCTTCACAGTTAATACAATATTTTTCAATTAAATCTGACAGTGTGGTGGTGTGCAGAAGCAAAATTAAGAAAATTGTGTCACTGTCTAAATACTTATAGTCCTAACTGTATGCTGTCCATACAGCTGATTTTTCCAACAAAATTCATATTGTGTGTTAAAACAGCATTTTCTGGTCTGATTTTGCTAGTTTTATAAGTTTGGAGACATGTGGATTTGAAAGCTCAGTTCTGCCCAGTCTTCTGGCCCCTCACAAAATTCATATTGTGTGTTAAAACAGCCTTTTCCCTAATCGTGACAACATAAACAAGACTCTATTAGACAAGAGGTCTATTCTGGCAGCTCACCCGAGCTCCCTGCCCATGCCAAATACGTTAGTATTAGCAACCCTGATATGAGACCAAAAATATAAGCTATATGATATGATTGAGGTGTATTACTCAAAGGCAGTAATCACAATATGGAGATAAGTGTTGTTTTCAGAGCTTAACAATATATTTAGAGCTGACAAACGGTAACATTAACTATGATAAACAGTACTAACTTAGTGACACTCCCCCAGATGGCACACACGCACACTAAAGAGCCTCTCGTACAGTGCTGTAAACTCAGTTACAACACAATATTCATGCAGTTATTCCCTCAAAAGGGACACACACATGCCTGCAGTGACTGTCAGAGCCCCACCAGACTTTGTCTCTCTGCACCAGAGAAGGAAAGTCTGGTAAAACCTTCAAATGGGCATTAACCCCAAGTCTGTCCATGCTACACTGGTTAAAGGTCGGTGTGCTTTAATGCTCCATGTCGCCCATTACTGACAAGGCCATACTGCCTACTTGTTGCTCCCTCACTCCTCACCCGCATTTTTAAATCTACTGGGAGAACAGAATGAGGGTCCCTTTAACAGATTTCAGTGACATTCCATTGAGTGTTAGACCAAGAGCCAAGAAGAGACAGATTTACTTCTGGGTGCAGACAGAACACCAATTTGCCTGCTTATTATGCAGATAAGCTTAGGTCATTTCCCTGTTTTCTGCTATAGCAAATGCCCTGGTCAAGTAGCAGAGCCGCCATTCCTAAATTGGGCAATTTATAATGTAACCTACAGTCCCAAAAATACTATATTTAGATAAATGTTAAACTGTCCCTTGGCTTAGGAAAGTCATTTCAAAACTGGTTAGCCAAGAATGTTAAACTTAGCCATGTTTTAGGGCCATAGCAAGTGAGTATTTCATACAAGAAACTAACATGTTTAATTGGAAATCATTTTGTATTGTGTGTTAAGATATTTTGTGCTCTTGCCAAACTACTGTTTCATACTGTGTATGTGGAATAAGAGTTCAGATCCGTACTATTATCACACCCTGCCCGACCAGACATCCATTACAGCCACAGGACCACTGTAACATTTCGCAAATTAAATGGGAAAGCTGTGTAGTTTATGATTTTCTCTCTGAAAGCCAGCTAGAACAGCAGAAAACAGATAAAGTTCAAGCTCATAGACAGTAATAAATAAGGCATTACAACAGCAATTAAATTTTGCTCTGTGGCTGACTCACACTGACATTCTGCTATTACGGGGAGGATATCTGGAGGGTGGTTAAACTGAGTTGTTTCCAAACAGAAAAGAGAAATATCTGAATAGGAAATGGGCTGAAAGACAGAATGGAAGAGCTTTTTCTGTTTCATTGCCTCTTCCTTAAAAGTCTTGATCACAGAATCAACGTGCTCTGCTGAAATGATCACAGCAGTCATTATTTAAATATTCAAACTCAAAAATGAGCCAGTTTTTACACTGAATATATGGACAAGAAAGCATGGAGGGATTCAAACAAATCTTAAAAGCTCTAGTGCTTTCTATTGTTACGTGGAATATTTAAAAGTTTGCCACAACATCCACATGAAGTGTTCTTAGGTAAACTGAGCAAAATTCTTATGCAATACTGAATGTATTTTGAAAATGTAACTCATGTTGACACAGACCACAACAGCTGTGATTGGTAGCATCTCATTTCCTCATTAATGTCACTCAGTGGCTGGACAAGCATGGAAAGTCTCCCCTCGTTCTGTCTCAGTTGGTTCATTGGCTGTACAGATCATATCCTCCAATGTCTTCTCTCATCTGTGTTGCAGTAATTTCAGTAAAAGTAACTGCTGTTCAACATCTTTGTTTTAACACCCACATGGCTCGCTCAGTTTCAGTCGCTACCGTTAGTAAGTGGTGAAGAAACACTACAAGGTGGCAGACAAATGGCACCTAGCATTTTGTAATTGCAGGGTGACAGACACACCAATGCATAAACATAAATGCACACAACAGCGTAAGCCACTTGCATAGCCTATGGTGTAGGCTCTACGTAGATTCAAAGCAGAACCATAAATCAAGCTTTATAACCTTCACTATGTGGCAGCTGTGACTAACTTGCAGACCTAACTTTGAAAACACAGTTTAGAAAAGCTGGAATAGCAACAGAAGCACATCTTGGAGGACGTTAGTATAGCAGAAAGAGACCATGTCCGACACCATTTGTGCAGACGGGAAGGCCCTACAAAAAGTTATAAGGTCAGTAGAAAGAAAAAAAAATAAAAAATTCATTGGCTGTCCCCTGCCCTCTTTGGAGGACATAGTTAGCACTCGTTGTCTCAACAAGGCCAGAAATATTGCAAAGGATAATACACATCCTGCGTATGATTTATTTGCTCTCCTGCCCACTGGAAGGCGTTATGAGTCTAAAAAGCAGAACAAATAAACTTAAAAACAGTTTATTTCCCTGGGCCATCAGATCTTTGAATACAAACATATGATATGATTTTGGTCTGAACATATATTTAAATTGTGACCTGTATTTTATTTATTTTTTATGTCTGTTATTCATTTTGTCTTTTATTATCTACTATTAAACTTGCACCATTCTCATTTGTAGCACTCCAATTTCGTTGTACTACCCGTACATCTTAGTTAAACTAGCCTTTAAATCCTAATTAAGCCACATGTCAATCTGCATCCACAGTATGTGTCCGTGTAGACCAGCAACCATTTTTCTGAACCAAATACAGTGAGGAGCCCCAATGAGCCCACTACATCATCAATGGAGCCAATCGATGGTCACACATGCTCTCTACAGTATACTGTCTATTGGCCATGTAGAATTTTCTGCCTAGCTGTCCAATAAGGGCAAAATGCAAACAGAAAAATTAAAGACAGCTGTTTTGCTATGGATACAGTGTGGCAGGAGAAAGAAAATACAAGAGTAAGACCACTTACATTGCCCATGTACTCAGACAGAAGGTCCTGAAGAGCCTGGCGTACAGAATTGCATTCAGCCACAATGCGCTCCCTGCGGTCATCACGTGTGCAAGAAGAGTCGGCCATGAGGGCAGCACCACTGATAATGCTCTCAAGGCGCTCCTCCAGGGAGGGGCGGAAGCGCTCCTCACTAAATGCCAGGGGGTCCACGATTATTTGTTTCTGCACAGAAAGGGAAGAAGAAAAATTATACATAAAGGGGAAAAAAATGCAAAAACTCATCATAGTACAGTGAGAGCCCCCTTTTCAAGCCTGAAATGAGAAATCCAGCAGGCAAGGGGAGGACTGATTTGACAAACTGACAGGTCGTTTGAAAACCTTCAAGAGAAGAATATGCTATACTCCCTTTCTGTGTTCATGGGACCAAAGATAAAAATTCAGCCTACAGTTTCACATCTTTAACAAAACAAAATTAAAGGGACCTGACCAAGAGAAACCTGAAATACCATGTTATTATCTGAGTAATGATACAGTGACCAGGAATGAAGATAAGATCATTTCCGCCTTCAATTCAATGAAACAGCCCACGCTCAGGACTTACAAAGTGATGTCACCTGTCTAGTGTGAGTACTAACACAGCAGTACACTGGAAAAACAGCTGTATTCATTTCAAAACAATCCATAACCAAAGCAGCATGTTCTTACTTAACCTAAATGTCTAAGCTAGATTAAAAAAAAAAAAAATGTATGAAAAGCTAAACTCTATAGCCAAAGAATAATGTGAATAATGCAGCTCTGAGAAATGCATCAGCCTTCCAGGCCTTCCTTCACAGTTTTAACAGAATACTTTGCATAGTGCACATACTCAACTGAAAACGTATGTGATTAGGTTTTTCACAAAACATAATTGACTTTAACTTTGCTAAATTGTTTTACAAACAGAAAAAGCTGGTGTATCCAAAATACAAAGCAACCATTATATAGAGCCTTTGATACCTTTCATCTGAATCACAGAAGTGCAATAGTAACTACTCCAATCTGCTCCTTTTTATATCTGCAGGATGAGAGAGGTCGCTTAAATGTCTGATTTCACAGAGGCAAGCCTGCTGAGAGAGACAACTAGTTGACATGCTGGAGAGGTACTGCAGAGGGTTAAAGTATCACCATGACACTTGTACCATCTAAAGAACGAATTTTTACTCCTCCAATGACAGACTCTACGCTTCCACAGAAACCTTATTGCGTCAAAATATTAAACAATTCAGTTGCTAGAACTGTTTATTAGGCAGCCTGCCCTCCATCACAGCCACCTCCAGCCCCCTCTATTCCGTCTCAACTGACCTCCTCTGCTTGCGTGTCATATCACCATGGCAACAGGCATGCGAGAGACACGGAGGAGGAAACACAGGGAGAGACAGGATTTGTGTTTGGGGGAGGGAGGCGGTGGTGTTGGGGCTGACTCATTTGCTAATTTTGCCTTGCATTTAAAGTTGGGTGTCAGGGAGGCATTAGTATGGAAACGGACCACATATGAGTATTTTTAGGGAGTGAATTTTCGCATGGCTACCTAAAATAATGACTGATGCAACAGATTTGAGAGACTGCACTACTGCCACTTGTTTTATGTGCATTAATCATTTGGCATACCATCTGTCATTGTAGTTTAAAACCGTTTAACATATATTTCCATGACTGTAGTCTGAGCAGCTAGCCATCAGTCCATACCAGAAAACAAAAACTTACAAAATCAACATTTTAACAATAGAAACAGGGAACTCAGATGAGTGAAGCTAAATATGATGTCAAGTACATAGAGGTTCTCTTCCTTCTGCCATTAAGCTATCATTAAACTAAAAGTACAAATCTGTTGAAAGAAGTTGTATGGCTTTATATAGTCAATACTGAGACTACTGTGAAAGCAGTGCTCACTTGATGAAGGATACTTAGTGTAATGGCTGAAGTACCACATTTGATACTTAAAGCAAATGAATGAAATAGACTGTAAAATGGGAAGGTGGGCCTACGCATTTTTACTAACAGAAATAAAGCATGTGGATATCTGCAGTTTTTAACACTGCCATTATGGACATGATGCTCTTGAAAAAGAATCAATGTCTCTCAACTTCACAGTTGAATATATATTTTTAAAAAATATATGTAGACGTACTAATTGGAGAGATAGCGCTCCACCAGCAAAACCTCAATTGTGACCAAAGTATTTGGGGATGAACAACTTTGTCAACTTACCATTAATGCAAGAGTTAAATTACAGAACACAATGAGAAAAAACAGATCAACAGTAACATCTGAGAAGAAAAAAAAAAAAATTTTTGTGTGCGCAATATTTTAGGTTGCATATTGTTTCGGTATAGTCAAACAACTGCCTGCTTGGGTGTAAAACAAAAAATAGATACTGTTGTAGGTTGCTGTGATTCTTACTTTCATGGTTGGAATTTGATTTACTCTCAAGTTATCTTCTTGATAACAATAAAGCAAAAATAATGTTTCCGTTTTTAAAACCATAGCCTCTGAATGGAATACAATGTAGCAGCTGACCTTCAATTCATCTTGTCAATGCACCACAAGAGGAATTCACAAATCACTCCACTTTTAAAACTCCAACACAACGTAACCTTAAAAACTGTGGCACATGTGCTTCATTATGGTTGGCTATGTTGAGCAAGTTTCTCAAGGGCGATTTTGAAAAGTGAACTGAAATGAATGAATTGAGCTCATGGAAGGCAGGAAAAGCCGATTTAAAATAATATGGATTCACTTGCATTAACTGTAATATAGCTGGCAGTAACATAGCTTGTGAGCACGTAGGACTGCAATAATGTTTAAGTCATGAGTCAGTGGTACTAATACATACCCCAGCAAACCTCCACAGTGTTAGACAAAGCAACAAGGTGCTTTTTTCAGTTTAAGTAAACAATGTCACTGCAGGAGCAACACATTAAGTTACACACTGCTACTTGTCAAATGACTAAATAACTGAACACATGACAAATTGCGTCTCTAAAGAAAGAGACGTCAACCTGTGCTACTATAGCGCTCGTTGGACAGGGGTTAATTTGTGCCTTATGGATCTTGTCAGTGTCATTGGAAGCAGTCTCAACATAAAGAAATCTCCTGTGTAGGAAAAAGGTGTTATGCCAGTCTGACAGAAGTCAGCGACAGTGGGAAAAAAAGAGTCGGGTTAATCATCTTTGCATTTATCACTCCAGGCAGCATTAAGATGATTAGCTCAAAGTTTTATCCAACTATTATCTGGATATTGTGGATACTGTTTCATGACAACATTATGACTCGGTTTATTATACAACCTTTTGGTTATACGTTTTTAATCAAAATTAAGCCACCTTTGATTGAATAGGGATTCATCCATTTCAAGGCTAAAGTTGAATACAGCTTACCCCCTAATAACATCTATGTGAACAATTGGATCCATAGTACAAAAAAAATTGCGAATTAAAAAAAATGACCGGGGGGAGGGGTTAGATAAACTGACTTTCAGAAATACAAAGGTTTTGAGGACCTAGAGAGCATTATGCTAAGAGTAGTGTTTTGTAGATTAGGATTCATGTCTGTGCTAAATGTCAAAATTAACTTCTGCTCTATTCCGTTAAACCAAACAAGTGAATAATCATTAAAGCAGAGCTCAGTAGCAACCAATAGAGAGTTAACCTTCATTTGCATAAACCTCAGTTATTTGATGGTCACCTTTACTGGCCAAGTATGTTACACCCACAAGGAATTTGTCTCCGGTACAGAACCGAGGCAGCCATCTGTGGCGCCAACTTACTCACACACATACACACTGATGGCAGGGCTGTCCCTGCAAGATGCTGCTCTGGCCATTGGGAGCAACTTGGGTTTCAGTGTCTTGCCCAAGTACACGTCAACATGTGGACAATGGGAATCGAACTGCCAAACTCTACCTTCTAAGCCAAGATGCATTTATAAATGCAGCCAAATGTTTGTCTCTTTCCAAAAGCTAGAGCCAAGTAAATCTCCACTCATTTGACAGAGATAAAGACAACTCGAGGAATGTAGTAGTAGTGACTCAGGACCATTTTCTATGTACCCCAAAGCTATGTCCCAGTTTGTCTACATATCCCATTTTAATTTCCACTTCAGCTGCAATCCCTTCAAGTGTTTTGGTCATTTTATGATTCAGATGGGGTATGTTTCAACTACAAATTTGAGCTTATAACCTCATCTACCTATCTGTGTTAGCCAATTATTTTTTTCCATACATTTGGAAATGTACCTTACTACTCTAGGAAAAATATCTTAAAGGTTTGTGTGCTGTTTATTGATCTGCCAGATAAGTGGATGTCTGGCCAAAAAAAAGGCAAATGGGCTGCGACTAATCCACTCATTTGACTTACATCAAAATTATTGAGGGCATAGGCGAGCTCTCCACCTCCTGCTGGCTGACTGAGCACTGAGTCTTCAGTGGTAGTGGCCTGGGCAGCATTGGAGATACCAGAGACTGCATTCTGCAGCTGCTTGTAGATCAGGTCACGGTTAGCCTTGTAGGCTGCCACATCAGGGTGCTGCAGGCAGGCACGGGACGCTGTGTACAGCATGGGGATGTTCCTCTGTAGCACCCCACGAGCAGCAGCCATTTGGTCCTTATGGTGTACATCCTTTAGCTCCTAGCAGAATGAGATACAACAGAAAACAGCAAATAATGAAAAAAGGTTCTGAAGTGGAAGATGGAACATTTACAAGGAGCAGGGTGGTACTGTACTTGAGAATCAAAGTGGGCTTGCCATGCCCTTAGGAAGACACCAAGTGTGGCAGAGTTTGTTCTGGATGTCTCAGATTAATTTTCTGTCCCTTGCAGTAACACAAAACAGTCAGAATCAGACCATTATAATATTCCTCTGCAAATTAATATGTTGCTATTCAGAACTAAGCATTACATTACAATTACACCTTGGGTTAGGGTGACACATTTCACTAACCATTTAAAAAGTTATTACAAGTAATTTCCTAACAAAATCATCCGTGATCATTCTGGCAAGTTTTCCCAGTTAAAGAGAGGGTAATATGGAGGTCAAGAAGTGTCTTTGGGCAGATTTTGTAGTTAAAATTGTTTTTAGAAGTTTTTATGAAGCTTGAAGACGGTACTTCATCTTTTTGACTTGATACACTTACATCCCTCAGTATGGTGTGACATCTGCAAAAATCCAATTCATCATTTAACTTCTCCAAATCGGTGTCTGAATCACGTTTGTGGGGGTGACAGAGGGTGGGGCATCAACAGTCAAAACTCATGTTTACACTGAGATCCAGTGCTACTGCCATTCCAAATGGTTGCCAAAATCCTGCCCTGGTGCTGTTCATACAGATCAAGTTAAGGGCAGTAGAATCGCAAGCCAGCCTGTGAATTCAGACAGCAGGGTGGAATTCTGCACCAGAGGCAAGACAACATTGCTCTGCATCAACTGTGACATATGTTTTGCGCCGGTAGTTTACAACCCAAAACAACGACAAGAAAGATAAGTGCAGATGTAGCTTTGTTGGCTCTTCAAGCATTTTTTTCACTTCACGCAAAATTGATTAGCTTGGTTCTTGCTATGTGTGCTAATGCTTTGGCCTGAAAGTTAGAGAGAAGCCCAGAATACTTCAAGGCAGAGAGGTGTGCAGACTTGAGACGCTGGTGATAGTGTCATGCACATATTACAACATCAAAATGCAGCACTTGGTCCCAGACTGCAGGCTCACCCTTTCTACACAGAGCACCTCTCCCCTTTGTTTCACCTCTTGCACTACCTCCCAAGGCGGACCAGAAATTTGCCTGCCATTTCTGGCTTTGCGCCTAACACACAAAAAAATGAGACAAAATAAAACAGCTTTGTATTTTCTTTTTTCTTACGACATATACTCTACTACCATTATTCTCATTTTCATTTTGTGCACTACTGACGTGTGGTCAGAAAAATTTCGTTCCACAATGCTGTATTATAGCTCTGATTGCACGTGTAGAAGATAGGAATTTGATGTTCTGCAATGGCCATTTTCAACTCTCACAAACAAGTTCCCTCTTGTAATGTTTTTGTGGTTTACATAATGATCAAAATATTATCGATTTTATAATCTATGTACTTCTCTTTTAGTTGTTTACTTCCTACTGTTGTACTAATCCTTTGCTATGTCATTTGGATGGTGTGTGTTGTTAAGACTGACAAGAACACTAGCACCTATTTCGGTACCCGATAACCTCCCAACCCAATTAAATCAACTAGACTCCTTTGCTCTCATGATCTGACCTTGTCTCTCTCTTTCCTAACTGCACATTACCTGTTGTCTCTTGGCAGCCATGATGTTCAGCTTATCCACCTCTGGTTTTAGGGCCTTATATTGGATTCCCAGGTCCTGCTCTGTTCCTGCATTGCGCACTTTCACCAGACTGTCCTCCACCTGAGCCAAGTAGATGGAAAAAGGTTAGACAACTGCCTAAAAAGAATCAATCAATGGAGCTCTGGTTTTAATTAGATGTAGTCTTTCTAGTCAGCTAAAATTAGCTGCTTGGTATGAAAACAAACATAAAATACTCACAAGTACCCTTTTTAGAAATATTTATATTATTTACAAGTATCAGTTTGTAGTGTATGCAAACAGACTGCCATACAATTTCAGTGCTCAAATTAAGCAGCGTTGGAAACAGTGTTCTTGATTTTTTTGAAGAAAATATGGGTTTTTTTTACCAATTAAATTTTCTGAAATTATCAACATTTTTTGTAATGTATAATATGAAGAAGAATCCAACCATCTCATATGATAGAAATAAATCATGTATAAATCAATTGTAATGCAAGTGATTGACTCTTTTCATGTTTGGTATTGGTTAAACTATTGTTAAAACTCCTACAACAGAAGGTAAGGTGAGTTTACATGTTGTGGTGACCTCACATGTGCAAGGTGACAGTTTGTCACCTTGCAGTTCGAGTATGATAGAGGGAATGCAAGGCTGCAAGTATACAGTACACAGTCTGCATTTTTAGGTAGCAAAATTATAACTAGGGAGTGCACCTGCCAGACTTCACTCTTTGTTGTGGAGACCTTTCGCTTTCTGAAGGCACTGAGCCCTTTCATGAAATTTTTATTAAATACCACAAAGAACAGAGCTTGTGTTCTTGACTTTATTTTTTAAGTAGTTCTGTAACACTCACCAGTTTAAGTTGCAGTAGAAGTTTGTAGACATCAGACATGTCGGCCAGCACCAAAAGATGTGTGACTGCTGACAGGAGGGCCCTGGCAGCACGAACCATATTGCCCCTCTTTACAGAAGAGCAAGGGTCTTCTGCAAATTCCCCAGAAGCCATTCTCATCGACTCACCTGAGAATGAGTAACAAAACAAAAGCAGCCTCTGTGAGTCCAAGGTCTAAATTGAAACTGGTTCTAAGTCAGACTTTTGAAGTCTTCTGCAAACATGAAAGAACAAAGTTTGTTAGACTTGCCTTTCTAACATGTTACAATATGAAATTATGCAAGACAAAAACTAGGCTACATATCAATGTATCATGTTAATTGTTTCTCAGTGCATTGAACTTTCCCCACTGTTATCCATTAAAATGAGAAATTTCTTCATGCGAAGAACCAGTTTTATTATTAGTGGCAGTTGTAGCTGAGAGCAAATGTATGGCATAGTCTGTTTATTGCATCACATATACGTATTCATTTGAGACAATGAGGAGTGTGCAGAAGACAGCCAACAACAATTTGACACATTCTCCCTGCCTGGTTAAGGTCAGCATGTGTCACACAGAGGGACAAAGACAAATGCACCTCGTCTGTTTGCACACAGCCATCTTTATTAAAAGAAAAGAAAAGAAAAAGAAAAAAAAAAAAAGGTCAATGACATGACAAAAGGCTCACTGTCTGGTGTGTCCAGCACAAGGCTTTGTCCAACACTGGATGGGCCTGCACAGTTGACTGGACACACAAAAAAACTTAGTAGGCTTGCATTATGAATAGCAGTAAATGCCTAAAAACACATTTCAGTAGGGGCTAAGCTATAGGCACATTAAAGAGATAAACAAATGACAAGTAACTCATCATGTCCACTTTCCTGTGATGCGGCACAGCACTACTGAAGCAAAAATAAAAGATGACAAGCAGCAAATATGACTAATTTTCCATACAACAATGAGGTGTACTCTGGAAAAAAGGCTATTTTTGCAATAGCTGCTCATTCTCATCAGTTACCATCCTGCTAAAAACTTCTTCTATGACAATCATGTAAATAAAGAACAGCTCTACTGTTTTCACCACAAAGACATACTATGATAGAGGGTTTACATCCCCTTTTGACTCCAGCCACCTGGAGTCAAAATTATCATGGATTATCAGTTAAATATAGTCAAAAAATTATCATGGATTATCAGTTAAATATAAACTGGTTGGTTGAGCAGTGTGGGGTTAAGAGCACAGTGCTGGAGTGCGTTTTCTTTTTTAAGTTAAAGCATCGGGGTAATTTCACTCCATGATAACAAGCAAGCTGTATTTAGATAAAAGTCAAGTGACTTCTCTCTGTGTTCTGGCCAGAAGCAGAACTGACTGTATGTGTGACAACTTGGGCTACAGCACTTCCAAACTCATTAGGAACTTCACTTTATCTTATTTCCCCTCAGAGCACCACCTTCTTGGTCCTGTTACTTTGAGTTCAACTCAGACATTTCTTTGCTTTAAACTGTGGTGTCTAAAGAAAGTCTGCTTCTGTCCATCGATGTAAAAATCTGCATGCACTGTTTCCTCTTGGTATTAAATATTTTAAAATCCACCTGAACAGCAACATTTATCATATTTGCTTAGAAAATCAGGGTGTGCATTCAGTCGATGAATCAAAACAAATTCAAATATTTGCAGACTAACTTAATGGCAAACTGAAAGTAAGTGCTTTACTACCCTATGACGTTTAAAGCTAAAGTTACAAGTCACTTTCACCTGCCCACACCCAGCATCACTGGTGGGTGAGACTGGCTATGATCAGTGTTTCCACTAGGGGTGCAATGGTTTAAATTACTCACGGTTCGGTTCGTATCACGGTTTTAGGGTCACGGTTTCGGTACGGCTCGGTATGTGTGTGTTTAGGGAAAAAAATGCTACTGTCAAATTCGAAGAAAAATTTTTTGGGTTTATTGGGTTACAAATACTCAACTGACATTTACCATGTTTTGTGCATTATCTGTGGTGACTGGAATGGTGATGTTAGGTCTCTCCAACTTCCAGTTTGTCACTGCACTCATCAGTGCATTGGCCAAATGGCTACTTGTGTGGCTTTCAAAAAGAGGGCATGTTTGAAGGACAGAGCTTTTCATTTTCCAATCCAAAATATATTGTGCTGTCACTGTTAGGTAACTTTCAATTGCCCTGGAGGTCCAACTATCAGTTGTCAGAGCTATGTATGGGGCATTTGCAAGTTCGTTCTCAATTCTGCTCCACGTTTCCTCATATAGGTCAGGAATTACCTTGTTGCTGAAGTGGGTACGCGAGGGGATTTCGTAACGTGGCTCCAGCATCTTAATCAAATGCTGAAATCCCACGTCGTCAACAACGGAATAGGGCTGCATGTCCTTAGCAATGAAAAACCCCAGCGCTTTAGTTATTGTTTTGTGTCAGTCAGAATTAGAGCCAAGTGCCTGTTTAAACACAGAAGGCAACGTCTGCTGTTTCGGTCTCACCTGTGCTCGAGCGCTTTCAACAGTGTGATGACGACGGCGCAAATGACTCATCATATTGGATGTACTGCCCTGAGCATACGGCACTTGCGCGTGGCAAATTTTACATACAGTGACTGCTTTATCCACGTTTTTTTTTTTACCATCGCTGCCGTATTGTAATGGAAACCTGAAATGTTCCCAGACAGCAGACTTACAGTAAATGAAGCGGGTGGTGGCTCTATTAGCGGCTTATCTCCTCCGCTCACCATGGTGAAGAGTAATGTTACGTATCAGCAACACACACACACAAACACCAACACGTGAGGAACTGTGTCGTATAGCAACAAATTTACATACTATGAGTTGATTGGACGGCAGTCTCACATGAAACGCACGTGGGGCGTATTCAGAATCATACATTAGCTGAACTCTGTTTTATGTGTTGTTTTTTTCACCGAACTGTATTGTAAGTGCGTGGTCAGAGCAACCGCGGTCCATGTGCGTGTCGAACCGTGGGAGGAGAACAGGACGGTTCGAATCTTTACCGAGAACCGTTGCACCCCTAGTTTCCACTACCATTCATTTGGTGGGGCGGGGCACCCAGCCAACAGCTTCCCACTCCCCCAAAAAGAAAGGCACAAAGCAGAAGCATCATACGCATTTCACTGTCCTGTGGCTGCTATTCAGTTCAACATATGCATAATTCAATTACTTACTGAAACTTGAAAGTCACTTACTCAACAGCCACATTTAGCTGCTACTGACCGCAAGAAAAAAAAAAAATGTGTAGTTGCAGTCTTGTACTTCCAAATAGATTTACAGATAAAAGCATTTGATGCTTGGTTTTCAGTGGACATAGTGGCCAACATACAAAAATAATTATACCATTAATATATCCTGATGTTTGTATGTGTTTGGCATAAGTAACAGACTGCAGTACAGAGATGCCAAAGCTTTCTTTGAGGTATGTCAGAAACACTGTCACTCTAACTGTAACGTAAAGCATAATGGCACATTTATTTTCATCTGTTATTTTTCCTACTCTGTACATACCTTGCAGGGCTCAGGCTAACATTTTCCACTAGTAGCACTGGTGCTCCTTACTGAAACTTTTAGGAGCACCAACACAAAATTACGTGCACTATGGGCAGGCAATGAAACTAGGGCTGCAACAACTAATTGATAAAAAAATAGCAAGAAATAAAATTTTGTTGATGAGTTGGGTCTAGTCACTTAGCTGTGTGACACAGCTGGATGACTACAGGTATATGAAAACATCTGAAAAAATGGCGGAAGCAGTGGATTGTAGTGAGAACGGTTGCAGCAGAGAAACAGAAAGAAAAGTATGTCATGGCATGGGAGCATGACACTAATGCATCAGCACCTAAAGAAAAGACAAGCTGGAGGTGCAGAAGAAGGGGAGACTGTAGGTTACTAATGAAAGAAATAAAATAAATTGAGGTACCCAATTTCAACTGTTGCTGTTATTACATTACACTAAATCCTCAGACTAACACACCAAAATTTAAATATTGCTTAGTATTTTTGTTAAATCATGAACAACTACCAGGTTGAGCAACAGATGAGTCATTGGCTTCATAACAGTTTCAGTTAAAGAAACGCATTTTCAAATTGGCATTTAGCAATGAATTCACCTTGTTTGGTGGGGGAAAAAAAAGATTTGCAAGATCTGTAGAACAGAGATGTCCAATAGATTCTCACCATTTTATCCCAGCAGAGAGCTAAATCAGTTTGTGCACATGATCGACAAGAGACTTCAAACAATGTCCACACCTTCAGACTGTTATTCCCCCCTGTGAACGAAATCAATAAGGCCATTTTCTGAGGGCAGACAGTGATCAGTGCTCCTTTAATAAACTTCCATCCATCTAATGCTCACCTGCGGCCCATCAAGTGCATGATGAAATGATTAAAATGTGTATCACACAAAAAAGCCTCCCCAACAGCAGGACAACAAAGACACAGACAGGGAAGGAAGGGCGAGACAGAGAGAACAAGGAAAAGAGTAGACAGAAATGGCTGAGTAATAAAAAGGTCTTTAACAGGGTAAGATCTATGTGATGTCTTTTGTAAATAAAAAGATTCAAATTAATCAGAAAGTTAACTGGAGCTAAATCACTAAATCTGAAACAATTTAAGAAGAAAAACTTGGTCCATTACCCAATTCAATGTGCAGTATATACACACAGTTATTCTTAATGTTCTTCTCCCATTGTAAAAACAGCTGGTAAACCACAGCTGGGCAAAAAATTCTTTCTAACTCTAGGAGGGTGGGGTGTGTCACCCTACTCAATGGGCACATTATCAGTCTAGGCACGCTCCACTGAGCAGCATGGCATAGCCGACAGCCAGGCCTCGGAACCAGCTTACAACAGTCACTGAATTCCAGCCCAGAGACAGCTTACCACAACTACAGTAACATTACTAGGCAGTGAGCACTGCACAGGCTATCCAGTGACGTGTCATCTACCTCCCAACTATTCAGAGCAGAACTCTAGCAGGGGACATCTAACTCACTGGCCATCTGGGGATAAAAGACACAGATGTCACTACACAAAATGATAACAGCCACCCTCAAGTCATTGCTCCCCATTTTCGATGGTCTGCTAGTGTGACAATAGCCAGAGAAGAAAAGAATAAATAAGACTTCCAAGTGTGGTTGATAATGGAACCTGTTATCGCAAGATAAACGGTAATTTTATTGGCTAGTGATTTGATGGTGGATATCTGTCTCAAGATTAGTGGGAGGTATGAAATTGAATTGGAAATTGACCGTGAGTGGGTTGAATCCCACCAGACAGGTGGATATGGCAATTTAAATAAATCTGACATCATCAATGACATCTGCACACTTTTCTCCCCTTTACCCTTTGAGGCAGTATTTGCATTCCCCTGTGCCGATTTCTGTGGCAACAACTAAAAAGGGAAGAGTTCTGATTATAAAGCAGAACCAAAAATGTATTAGTTACTGGATATCTTGTGTGGCACTTCTGCCACACAATGAGGTGGTACTCCGCTAAGCAACCTTTTACACAGAACACCAGACAAATCTCCTCTACCTTAAAATTCTGACAATTAAATACATAAACAAGAACAGTCTCCTTATGTGTGATGATTTCCTTGTGATATTGTCATCATTGGTACAGACAACTTCAGCAGCAGATGCAAAACTAGTATGTTCACAGGTAAACCAAGCTGACATGCTTCTAACAAGAGCTCAAACAAAAGGGTGAGGGTAGGCAGACAGGGTTGAGTAGTGTGGTTAAAAATATCACAGAAATTGGTTCCTCTCACTTTTCATTATAGAAGAGCATAACAGACAAGAGACAAAGAGTGGAAATATTACACAACAGTTAATACTAAGAAAGGTGAGGCTGATGAAGTTCAGGCTCCAGATATCTTCTAAGAAGTCTTACACTACGCTATATGTGCATGCACTCACACACACTTTTGCAAGAAAACCTGGTTAAAATAGATCCTGTCAGAAAGGACTGCAATAACTATATACAGCTTGAAATGAATGTGAAACGTCAGCATGCTTCAATGAGACATCTCTATTTACACCAATAGCAAAAGGAAATCTATCAAGCTCAAAGCATTATTCTTATTTCAACTAGGGTAGATAATATGCACATATCCTATGATTTATTTATCATCCTTCTTATCTTAAGAGGCACTCTGTAAAGGCTAGAAACCACACTGCTGCAATATGTATTTTCAACATACCTTGCTTGCGGACATCTTCCACAGCAGCAGTCAGTTCATCCTTAAGGAACTGACTTTCCTTTGCAATCTTCTCTCCTTTTTCCAGGAAGTTCTGGGTAGCAGTCTCCACTGATGCTGCCAAAACATGAGCTTTCTTGGAGCGTCCCTTCTTCTTGTTAGATGGGCCTTTGTTGCTGGAGTTTACCAAAGTGGTGACCTATGGCAGGGATCCAAAATGGCTCAAAATTACTGCTCATGTCAGAATCTGCTGCTTCAGGATATTAAATGTATTTGGCAGATTATAGTTAGTGTAGCTAGTTACTGTACATCTTACCAGCTCATTTTCACATATATAATCTATGGATGTAGTGCAGGAGGTTTTCCAGCATATTAGCATCCACCAACTGAGTTTTTGTGTAGAATACATTATATATGACAATTATGAATAGGCGATTAATATTAACTTTATTGTATATTTTGTGCACACCTATTCCAGCTATGAACTATCTGACCCTTTACTATTATTCTAAATAAAAATGCACATTATGTTCACATTACCTGGGTGACAAGGGGTTCCAGCAGCCTCTCCACTGCCAGAGTACGGATTTCTAGACTCTTTGGGTCCCACTTAAAGTTGATGTTAGCAGTATTGATGCTTGTCATGGTGTCTTGAGTTGCGTGAAGCACTAAAAATTGAAACATAAGCAGGACTAAGTCAGTTGCAGTCTTCAGAAGCAACATCGAAAGACAATCTTGAATGACATCAAACAAAATATTGAACAAGTCCTCAAAAAGGAATGCAAGAATATCAGTGACCCCACACATCTTCTATGACTGCTATGACTGAATGCATTTTAGCAAAACAAAGACAAGAGAGTGATTTTATTCAAGGAGCCATTAGACCTGTAAACAACACTAGTGCAAAGAACGGCCAGTTTGCAGTCTGCACACCTTTAATTGTGACCTCAGTACTTTAACACGTTTTTATGAACATTTTAAAACAACATTTTTATCAAATGTGCCAACCAGTCAATGGACTGGCCACTGTTATAGATCCTTGTGTTTTTTAACTCCTTCCAATGTTTTTCATGTGTAAATAAGTTGTCTATGTATGCTTTGATGTGGCCTAATATGTTGAATTGAATTTAACAATAAATACTTTTGTTAAATAAAATTTGTGTAGATGTATATCAGAGGATAGCATTTTGTTTTTGACAAGAGAGTTTTTCCTAAACAGTCTTCTTTTATGAATTTCAGACTAATTTCTAAAAATCTGCAATATTCCAAATATCAAGGTCACTGTTCTCCATTCCTGACAAAATGGGCACAGTAACACTGTGGCCCAATTTTGACTTCTCTTTTCAGGCATACTGCAACTACACTGATTAGCTCTGAAACATGGAAGGGCAGGAATAAACAGCAAGCCCTAAGGATGGAGGCCTGCAACTGAAAGGTTTGTCAGCTGTATTATGAGAGCAATGTCATACTAGCCCACACTGTCTTCAAAGCAGTGAAAATATTAAAAATACCAAAATAGTGACAGCCTAATGTTATATTCAAAGATATTGGATGAACAGGTGTTCATTTTTCCCTTCAAGAATCTTGACTGTTCTTTACATTTCGATAGGTCATAGATAAAAATAAATTTTTTAAAACTCCAGCCAGTATGGATGGATACAGACTGTTTGGCGCAATTGTAACAGATTTCATCATGCATCAAAATCTTACAGCACTACTTTACTAATCACGGCAACTTTAAATGTACAATTATTTATCAACTACTGCATGGCTTCTCATCATCTTCTTCATACAAACCATCAGAAAATATTTTCCTGGCAGTAACCATAGTCATGCAAAAGGTTTAGGTTTCATTTATAGAGCTTTTGAGATCTGGACTGCTGAAATACCTGCCAGCATACTGACAGAATACCAGTTAATGCAGCCACAAGTGAGGAAAATACCAACAGCAGTCAGTTCTCAGTGTATAGATAGGATTGTACTGCATTTAACTGGGGATCAAAGGCCACATGCAGTATTAATGTTAACAAGACGGAATAAAACCTGTGTTTTTAACGATGTTAGCTGGCCTCCCTCTTCAGTTCTCCCTGCTGGAAAAGCCCGGAATTCTAAGACTAGTTATCGGCTACGAGCCAGGGCTAAAGCAGTTTAGCTATGAACCAGAGGTCCCCAACTACAGTTCGGGGTAGCAGATCTGGGTGGGCAACACCGCACTGGAGAAAGTTACAACTAAAACGAAGCTGGGTGCTGCAATAACTAAAACCAGAAATAAAATTGACGTGGCTTTTGAATGATGGCAACAACTGAGAGAACAAAAAGGGCTGAAAAGTGACACCATGGTGGCTGTGTGTTTGCTGGACAGTTAATTACCGATTTTGTTTTATTTGGGGAGCATTTGTTATTTTCTTGTAATCTGTAAATAGTAGTGAGGCGGCGCATGATGCTGTGTGCATTGTGGTTTGGAGGACTGGGGCTTTGGAGAGAAATCAGAAGGAAAGGGTGGAATTTCTTCAGTGGGCTACTTTCAAAATCCAGCTCCCTCTTCCTGATTTTTTCCAGGATTTCCAACCCTACATTTAAATGAGACAACAGGTTTCCTCTTCCATATGGGTGTGACTAAAGTGATCTCACTCTCTGGGCAAATGAAACCAAAACCAGCAAAGGTTAATAGCAACATTAGGTTGTTTCACTTTGCTAATCCAAAAATGGGCAAAGAAGTGGAGCGTGAGTGGAGCCGAGTCAGGCTGAACGGGCGGAATGAAGCTAGCCAATGGTGGGACCCTCCCGTCTGTCACTCAAACGGCCACGCCCCTAATTAAATGCATAATTTTTAATCTCGATTTAGTTTAAACGTGCGAGCTATTAAAAATAAATAAATCGCCCCATTACTTTTGACATGGAATGGGAAATTAGCTACAGAGACCAAAACCATTTTTTGTACCAGGCTGTAAACACATCTACTTCTGCTGTAAAGTTGGTCATTTTAACATGGGAATCTATGGGGATTGACTCTCCTTTGGAGCCAGCCACAAGTGGCTATTCGGGGAACTGCAGGTGTTGGCGTTTGCGCATTGGCCAACCTCACAGGTTGTAGCTTGAGTTTACCAAGGGGTAATGTGACGCTCATGCGATTTGGGAGCAAACAACCCTTGAAACTAAACCATTTGATGTTAAAGGGACTAGCAAGATGATATGTCTTAATAACGTACAATTAAAGACTACATCCAAAAGAGAAACACCCAAAATTAAACACATTTAACATTTGTTGTGGCGAAGCGATGGGTTGGGTCAAACACCTGGACAGCTAGGTGCTAAAAAGCCACGCTAGTTAATCATACACCTGTTGGTAACCACAGCTAAATTAACGCTGGTTTTCCTGATCTTAAGTAAAGTTAATCAAGACTGTAATAACTCCAATACAGTTTATCGATCTTCAGCAGGTTTATCTTATAATAGGTCACTTAAAGTTGCAGCAACCTAGCTTAACGTAAGCTTCTGTTACCTGCTAACCGTTCAGTATCACAGCACCTTGCTAACTGCTAGCCAACACAACAAACATTACGTAAGCTCCGTTAACCTAAAACACAGCGAAAAACTTACTGTTGAAGTAACAGGTTCTCAAATTAACTAGTCCACGCAATAATGGTTCAAGTAATTACCATAAATAAAGTCGCAAAGAAACGTTATAAACTTACCAACAACAATCCACTGGGAAAACTTGGAGTTTAAAAGTTCAAAATGGAGGAATCAGAATTTCGAAATTGCGTCTGAAGTTTTCCTCCTTTTCTCTTCCTGCACCGCCTCCGTTTAGTTGTGTTTCTAACTGCCGAGCTTACAAGATACTTATTCTCAACAAATGTATCGAAAAGTAACCACAACCGCGGCCTAAAAGGGTCTTCAGCAATTAGGTGAAAAGTTTCGATGAAGTGTGTCCCGATGTTACAGACTTGCCCAACAATGGATGAGGCGGAGGGGGCTGGGGCGGTGACCGAGTTCCTGCACTTCCTGGCAGCGGGGCAGGGCCACCACAGGCCACAGCAAGCCCGCAAAATGGGGAGGTGTTTTGGGGTGTGGCGCTCACTGTACGTGTCCAAATATGGATTAATTATTGCTTCTATAAAACTGATGTAGAAGCAGGTCAAGCTGTGGGATAACAGTTTAACCTTCTTAACAATGAGCCCCAAGTAGGAACTAGTTAACCATATGGAGTGAGATAGTCTTATGGAACCCTAGTGTTAAGACATGTGATCAAATAATCTTTGGCCTCATTGTTGCTGTTCAGTTGTACCATGTTAAAATTCATAACTAAAATTTATTTGAAAAATAAATCATTATCACAGCCTTTGTTCCATACATAATACGCTAATTTTAACTAATTTTAATATTTGGCTCACAACAATAAAAACCTGTAAGTTAGGTTAAGAATTTCATTTTCAAACAAAGTGTGTCCTCTGTGTGAAAAGAAACACCTTTTGTCTGTTCAAAGCACACATGACTGTGACTTTCAAAGTATTCTTCCTTCACTTTCCCTTATTTAATGTTATATCTGATACATGTTAGGTGTATTATTTTGAAGCTTCATGAGATTTAGGAGAATCAGATGGTTTTAAAAGTATTTATTTTTTTAATAGTTTATAGTCTATCTTCATATGACCTGTTCCCTCTGTCTGTCCGTTTTAACTTTAGAGCAGCTTGGTTTCAAACATCAGAAATTGTATTGCATTCATCTCACATCTGTCATAAATTTAGATTTAGATCGATCTGTTTTTGTTGTCATTGTTTGTTTGATTGTTTGTTTTTAAGACAATGGGCTCAAATGTTGTATTAACAAATTCAAGTAGCAGAAGACCCCAGAGAAAGACAGTGTTCCATTGTGTATTATGTGCACAATGAGCAGGTTGTAAGTTCTTATATTTTATTAATGTAGTGTAAACATCTTACTACAGCACCATTGGCATTTCAGATGAAGCTTTTATTGTGATAGGTAGAGAAGGCTTACAGATGTCACAAATTTTACTACTTCAAGCTCAAGAAAAACTATAAGCTATAATCAGTATGCCATGGTCACACTTTTATGGTTTGTTGGAGCTGTGACTGATAACACTGAGACATTTGATAAACAAATTCAAGAGCCAGGTATTTTGGTTTGGGCTTAATGAAGTGTGAAAGCCATAAATAGATTATCTGAAGAGGCTAGGTGCCAGCCCTCCCCTCTCACTTTTCCATCTTACACACACACACACACTCACATATATAATATAATCACACATATCACACATATAATGGATACTCTATCCTTTAAACAGTGGTATCATGCTAACAGGTTTGTTTCAAGGTCATATACTGTAAATTAACTGTATGTCCTGCACATATGGTGAATTGACAATAAAATCCTTGAATCCTTGAACCTAACTGGCAAGGTAATGACAGCCGGTAATTTGATAATTAAGCTTTTATAGTTGGCATCCTTTTCTGCACTTTCCCATTGTTATGTGTGTCCAGTAAACCCTATTGGCTAAAGATAAGTCTACACAAGAAAAACAAATATTATCAAATGTGACAAAGCAATACAACAAGCCATAATTCCAATTTTATATACTGTATAGAGAAAGGATGCTTAAAAAGAGAGGACATGGTCATGAGCAACCCAAGGAGGTGGCCACAGAGAGCATTACATACAACAATGGTGTTTTGTTCTGCAGGCAAGTACAAATAACACACTTCTATTTGTTGGCTGGAGTAGGTGTTAATTAAGAAGCTCCAACAGTTCAGCATGAATTGCAGTCCTGAGGAGAATGGTCTTAGAAATGGGTTTACAATGCTCTCAATGAAGGCCTCAGAATACAGTTATCTTCTGGAAAGACACTCCTAAATATGTTTTGAGCAATAATAATTTTATGAACTTAGTTTTCTCTATGGCGTCTTGACCATGCCGAAACTGAAGGGTCATGCATTTATTAGGCATTTTAGAGTGTGATATCGCTGAACTAACTTGTGTCTAATATCAATTTCAGTGAAGAACAAAGGGGTCTGCTACTTACATAGTGCAGAAGAGATTTCCAACTAAGACTCAGCGGTGAAGCGATTAGATGTGGTGCAGTTGAATGATAAATGTTTGTCCAGGTAACAGCTTGCTGGGATGGGAGGACAAGTTTGAGTGTCCTTGAACTTCATCGTTTTGTACCTGTTGGGCCCAGCAAGCAATAAATGCACAGCATGCTATAAATAATTCCATCTCATTATGAAGAAGTGCACAGGTTTGCCACACAATGAATGTATAATTGAGCATATGCAAATCTACAGTTTTGGCCACTTGAAAACTAGAATAATGTTAATACAAGCTACTGTTTGCAATTGGAATAAGTAGTTTACATGTTCATTGTCTAAAATATACAAATGCATTTATTTAAATGTTTTCTCTTTCCTGAACTTTCTGCTCAGTGATGCTATAGATTAGTTTTACTTCTCTATTCAGGAGGCAAAATGTCTTATCATATGGCACTGCTCTGTGCTGATAAGAGAAATGCTCATGACTGCAGCCACAGGTGAAATTCTTTCACAACTGTTACCATGTATTGTTTTGTAAACATGGAAGTTACTGTACGTTACAGCTTTCTGTCAATATACACTCCCCAGCCACTTTATTAGGTACACCTGTACAATTGTATGCAACTCAATGCAACACTTTCACCTTAACATCTGTGTTTATGAAGCTGAAAATGTTTGAGTTTTTGGTGAAATTGTCATAAATGTATAAATTCAATTATATGTTTATTATTGAGGTCGTAGTTAAAGGTGATTTTGTACTGGACATGTTTTAATATTCTGACCCTCTTATGTATGTAGCTGGGGAGGACAAAAATATAGAGACACCTATGAATATAATGTAGTCCAGTACAGCACCACCTTTAACTACGACCTCAATAATAAACATATAATTGAATTTATACATTTATGACAATTTCACCAAAAACTCAAACATTTTCAGCTTCATAAACACAGATGTTAAGGTGAAAGTGTTGCATTGAGTTGCATACAATTGTACAGGTGTACCTAATAAAGTGGCTGGGGAGTGTAGTTACTCAGACTTAGTGACTCGACTGGAAGTTTCCTCATTGCAGGATTTTGTTCCCTGACATAAGGAACACAATGACTTTCAGTCTGCCCACATTCATCTGACTCATCCTGACAGCTCTCCATGGAGCTGCATGATGTCATCTGCAGGCTCTTCCTTCCAGAGTAAGACCTTGTAACATCATGATTAGCAGTGAATTTGGTGCAATGTAGGCGTCATTGTTCCACAGTAATATCCAGAGGGTGGAGGGAAAAGTCAACAGGCTACTAACACTATTGATTATCCCCAGTAACAGTCAGTCTTGATAACAGTTACTCACAGTGGCTTTCTTACAGAGATGCAAAGAGACATACATTACTGCTGCAAATTAACAAAAAGAGCCTTGACAGATCAGACATGTTTATAGTGAGGTGTCAGGACAGTGATGCACGGGCGCCGTTAGTGGGGGAAAGTTAGGACGATTCTAAGGGCCCACGAACTTTGGGGGCCCACAGAGACTAGCTTTGGGTGAGGTAGAGGGCCCAGTTCAAATTTTTTCATAGGGCCCAAAACTGCTAGCGGTGCCCCTGTAGTGATGTCATGGTTTCAAAGGTCATGCTTCTCATGACCTCAACTGCTGCTAACCTGTTGATGGTAGTCTGTTCAGCTCCGCCTGCTGGTGTAGACTGTGGTATCAGAATGCTATACTCGTGGAGTTAGTCACTCTTTGGATTTAAAAGGGGCAGGAAGTAACTGAATAATATGTTTCTGAATGGTACAGACCACTGAGTAACCTCTGATAATGCATTACTTGTGTAAGATGATCCCCTTTTTACCAAACCTAGATCTGTAAGTGCTAATCTCACATTTGGTCTGAGTGGTGCTCTCAAAGTCAAGCAAGCATAAGAGTTCCACTTAAGAAGGTGGTGTTGACTTTTTGTGGAAATTGTGCTGTTGACAGCATTAAAACAACTGCATATTATTTGTCTATTCTTCTCTCCCACAGGTCCTTTGGTGATTGTATTATCTGATGATAATGTTTCACAGATGGGAAGACAATAGTGTTCATAATAGTGTGTTCATAATCATTTGTCACACAATCGGCAATTACTGACTGAAATGCAATTACCAGCAGACCACCAACTGCAAACACACTTGTCATCCACAGTACACCCACTATTCTAGAAACCTTGTTTTATTCCCAAATTCTCCTGGGAGCAGCTGCCCTAATTTCCGAATTGAAATTCAGGCTAAAAGGACGGTGAAAAATGTGGAGGAGGTTACAAAATGACACACAATGCATTTCAAAGCTATAATGAAACATATATTCACACACCCTTCAAAGCCTTTCAGTCAAACATGTTGTCCAGATATCTGTGTGCTTAAAAAATACAGTAGCACTCAATTTCTTGGTGTAAGTAATAATGAGTACAAGGTCAATAAAGCTGGTCAAAAGGCCAAAATCTGTGATTTTTGGTATGAAGTAAATGAATTCAGATAAAAGTGTCATATAGCCGGGACAACATTTTACGTCATACCGGCATAGAAATACAATGCATAAATGGATTTGGGCAGAAAGAAAAGAAGTCTAAGTTTCTAATTTTTGAGCTTGTTGTTGCTTGTGGTTCTTAATGTGCCAGAATATCTAACACAAACAATGTTACTATATAAAAACTTGATCTTTACACTGGCAAAAATCAGTTTTAATGACTCAAATATTACTGAAGCCTGAAACTCAGCTTCTAATGACTAATACCCAATAGGGGAAATATAAAAGTTTATATTGCCAGTGTTCTAAGTATCAAAATCCCATTCATTCTGGATTTAAAAATTAGATATCCACTGAATTGTCATGAGACAATGTAGGCGGACACTAGATGGTATATTATTCTACCCACCTGCGTCAAGAGCTCCGAAAGAAACCATAAAATAAGTAGTCAGCTAATTTCCAGGGGAGTTTTGTAACACCATCTTCTCCCAGATAAATAG